CAAGAGACGTCATTAAACTCTAGAAAGAGAAATATGCCTCTGCGCTAAAAACGCACACAGTTCCACTACAACAGGAAACGTCCATCGTTTATGACGCCAAATATGTTGCACAGCGCCGTATTCCTTTACACGTCGAATGCAGTGTTCAATCCTACTCGTACTCGGCTCTCGGTACTAAGTTCTCGTTGAGGATTTCCTGCAACATCAGTCACTCGTCAAGGTGTAACAAGGGGGTATTAGGGAGTTTGAGCAAGGCAACGAAGTACGAAGACGAAGACAAACTTCACAGTTTTTTAACGTCTGCGCATCATTTTGCGCATACTCCGCTTAAGGTCAGCGGTGAGGGTTTAACGTCTTCGTCCTGTTGTCCTGGTTTAGGACGAATATTTTGGCAAAGTTCGTTGTGGTCAGAACGAAGTTTTCAAGGTAAAACATATTCAAGTCAAATCCTGAATCGTTCTTGTTTGAAATATAAATGTTGTTTGAGATTTTTAAACCGTAAAGAAGCATAAAATATTCGACTTCCAAAGCATCTTCTGAAAACATTGCTAAAATAGCCATCTCGTATTCAGCTTTGTTCATGTTTACAAATTTAGTACCGTGTTCGTAGTCGTATAACCTTGACAGAACTGTTCAATTCAAATTTCTCCTGCAGGAAGACTTAAGACGAAGACTACTATTCCCAATCTACCTCGGCCGAAACACGTCCTCATCTTCGTACTTCGTTGCCTTGCTCAAACTCGCCATTATAGAGGGTAGCCTTTGTCGGCGAGAATATACAAAGGAGGTGCAACTCTTCCGCTGGTCCAATACGAGGCATTCATTGGGACTGTCCTCTCTCGTTGTGTCCTAGAAAGTCCGACTGAATGGAAACAATGGATCCACGGTTGTCCATAATTATTTCGGTCGAGAAGTTATGATAACGACAGTGCCCGCTATGAAAATGTTGTTGGGGTTCTGTTTCAGTGGGAATTTGGATTGGATGCATAGTTCCATCTATGAAAGCAACAGCCCCTGGCAATAGATTCCAGTTGTTAACCAATGCGAGCCACTGCTCAGGTGTACATTATGGGAAGGAGTGTCCGAATTTCTCTTTGTACTGTTGTTGAAAATACCACTAAGACGGGTAACTCCTGGGTATATCCGTAAGCATTCAATCATCATCACGATCCGGTTTCTCATATCTAACAATTACGGATATATTCATGTTGTCTTTGATTGCATCTCCTTGTTTGCATGTTTAATGCAGGGTCAACATCACGTAGAATTTGCAAAAATGACTCCATACTTTCTCCCGTTAATTAAGCTCCAGAACAGATGCTTACATCTCTCTAATTCGTTAAAGTGCATATGACATGATCACCATTTTTTCACCAAAAATTCGCAAAAATTAGGCAATTCGAATGACATGTATCATTTCCCGATCGGATAAATACTTCTAAAGATATTTTGCAAAATTGCGTTGCAAAATACCAGCTAGATGTGTCGTATACCGTTGTTCCAACACACCAGATGCATAAAATCAAATGTACAATGGAGATTTGCGCCAGTAAGGAGACGAAAGAAATGGATAGACTTCGTTAAATTCAAGCGCGCTGGATGGGAGCCACCACCAGCCATGTTTGCTCCAAGCTTGGGATTTTGCGTGGTTTAGAACAACGCATATATTCCCTCGACTGAAGAGAGACGAAATCCGGGTTAACCTGTATACAACGATACAAATTGCGGTCGAAAAACAGATGAACTTTTCTGCGAGATATGCAAGGGCATTTCGATGCGAAGTGGGAATGTTATAGTTTCTCATGCTTTTATTTATTTATCGAGAAATTATGTCGGTAATTCATTAGAGTTGGACATTCTAAATGCCCTTTTAATTTAGATTACGAAAGAAAGCGCATCCCATAGTGAGGAATCAGAACCATCTGTTACACCAGATTGGGACACTGGCGCAAAGTGCAAATTGATATTGTTTACATTGCTATATAGCTAGGCCTTGGGATTGTTTACATTGCTATATAGCCTTGGGACTTGAGGTTGTTTCCATGAACACTGGTTCTTATATCAGGATACATAGAAGTTGTCAAAAAATGAGACCACTGGGACAAAGTGTTGCCAGACTTGTGTAGGGCAAATTTGGAAAATTAAGAATACATTACCATCCTGTGTCCATAGTTATGATGTCTCACATGTTAGTGTTTTATTAATATTTATGTTGCATGTTTATTGATATAAAATATATAATAATGTTACATGTTGCTTCTTGATATATATTAATATATCTATTTTTCTACAAAGAGTAATAAAACTTACTGCTTTAACACTTTTTATTCCAGTGGCCTCATTTTTGGACAACTTCTATGTATTCCCCTGATAGGAGAACCAGTGTTCATGGAAACAACACCAAGTTCTAAGGCTATATAGCAATATAACCACATTCACAACCTGGTCAAATATATTGCAAGGTGTTGTTGTATTATCACGCTATATCATCTTAGATGCCTGTGGAAACATAGTATAGAAGCTAGTCAAACTTGTATCCTCAGTGTTTTGAAAACTAACCTCTCGGTTCACTGCTGTTCGCAATATAGCCCCTTCGTTTCTTCAGGTTTTCTGAGAATATTTGTCGAAGAGCAGAAATTCTGTATTTTGAGTTGATTTTGTACCAAAATATAAAAACGAACTGGCTTTTAGTGGTGTTGATATAAAACGATGTCCAAAACGCGAAGTTGAAAATTCTGTCTTCGCGCCGTTATGAAGCCAAAATATTTCAAATTTTTTGCTCAAATTTCTTCTCGTATGTTTCTATGTTTGTGATTGTAAAATTGGCCTGAGCAGAAACGTGAACAAGGCAAAAAACGCAAAAAACTACGGTTCTGTAATAGAAATCTATATTAAACAAGACGCCTGTTCTGGCGTTAACTCCGGCGCACGTGCCAGTCTTCAATATAGAGCTTCTGATTTCTGAACATAAACAATACAGTTCATATTCGCATTTAGATGCCTTGCGAACCTAAATGTTCGATCGCGAAATTCAGAAGCACATCGTACTTTAAAAAGTATAGAAGTTAAATCGTTCAAGAATGTAAATAAACGGTACGATACATTCGCTTTGTCTTACACTTTTCCTTTGGAATTCGCGCTTATATAGTTATATTAAATCTTCAATCCTGTGCAAACTACGACGAGTCAAAGCGCCCATACACGACCACATCATCTTGTTAAACGGCGAAATAGCAGCGATATTACTAAAATAGGACCAGAATCTACACGTATTAAATATATTCTTACCCCAATTCAGTCTAAACTTAATCGAAAAGCATGAAAAGAACGGTTTATTTGTTCCTCTTGGAGGAATTGCCGTATCAAGCGAGCGAAATCGAATCGCGCATCGGAAAATTAGCCAAAGCTGTGCACCACAACTCTTGGGAGACAAGACTGGGACATAAATAAATCCAATCACATACACATTTTAAATACTAGAATGTTTCGCGCCATTACAGACTTGCGACGACGAAAAATAATAAAAAAAAAATAAATAAAAAAAAAACAAACAAAAACAAAACAAAACCGAGGCGAATTTTCAACTCCGTCGCTGACGCCGGAGTAACAAGACGCCTACTCAGGCGATCACTCGGGCTACAGTTATCTCGTAGTAACATGGCATGTTCGTGACACCCGCGCGAGAAACGATCCTAGGACGATTTCGATTGGTTCAAAGACTTCGTGCCGCCCACGCGTGATTTTTGTAAACTCGCGGCGCAAAAGAAAAAACCGAGCCCATTTTACAACTCGGTCTACCTACGGTAGCCCGAGTAATGATACGAGTAATGATACGAGTCTTTGAATCGGGTGGCGACCGAACACATCCGGCTTCACTCTTGCCTTCTATAGATGCGTTATCCAGTCTTATTTCAGATGGCCTGGCCACTGGCCCTGGCCCAAACTTAAGACTTCCGTGAGGCCCAAAAGTGAAGCCAAAGATGGCGGATTTTGAGGCGCTATAGTACGTCAGTTTCAGTCCTGCTATGTGCGCGGTCAACTAAATTCGAATTTTTTAACTTTATTTTTTTCTATTTTTGAGTTTTTAATGAAAGGTATAATACTAATGCTTTGTATTGAGATACTTTTATATTTCAATTAAATTAACAAAGAAACAATCGATATCTTACAAGGAAAGCTAAGGAGTGGCGGATTGTTGGCTTTTCAATGGTTTTGGCAAATCACAACATTTACTCACAGAATATGCTTCCCAAAAAACATTAATAAAACTTTTCTCAGTTTAATTAATCTATATAAGGCTTTCATTCATTTAAAAAATTGATAGGAAAGAAAATTATGCTGAAAAACGTACGAAGTTGAAATATTACTAATATATGATTATGAAATTTATAAACAAGTCTCAATGCACGTATAAAAGAAACCTTAAAAAGAACTCTATAGGAAAGCTGGCCAAAAAATAAAGGACAACTAGTGTTAAAGCATTTCGAAACTAAAAACGAAACAAGAAACACAAAACATAAGGTGGCAGTATATGAAAATAGCTCAAAATTAAACAAATCTGAAATGCGTAGTTGAATTTATGGCATAAAATGCATATTTACTCACACGTACAGTCGGAAAATGCGGCACCCACATCAGGTAGATGCAGAGAAACAAATTCTCAGTAAAATTAATCATTTTTTTCCATGCTTGTGCTCTCAAAATGAAAATGAAACACGAAAATCTGAGGGTTTCGGGAACGTCACTCCCGGTGAAAAACAATGAGAAAATTTTAATGGCCGCCCGAGTTAGGAGACTGAAACTGACGTACTAAGCCACCGTGACTATAGCGCACAGAGATTATAAATAAGTGTTATTTATAATCTCTATGCTATAGCGCTTCAATTTCGCCATCTTTGGCTTCACTTTTTGCACCCAAAGTTCTTACTCCAGATATATGTGGAGCCCTGAGTCCTGGGCCCTGTAGCCTGCAGCTTTGCAGCTTAGTAACCTGGCCGTCCATTGTCGACACAAGAAAATGGCCTCGACCACTGGCTTTGACTCAAAACAATCTTGAAATATGATAAACAAATTTTAATAGCTATACAAGGGTTAACTGGAAAGATGTTCTCATGTACGAAGTCACTTAGACGGTTGATTTCCCGACCACTTCGGGTAAGTTTTAGGAGTAAGTTTAAATAACATTTAGGAGCAATTTATAGCAGTGATCAACTCATTCAATTGTATGTGAACGCTGTACATAATATACATACATGTATAATAGATCATTAGAACAGTTTCAGCTTTAACGCATCAATTGATTATCTCTAGCTACAACTGATCATTAACAACTAACATTAGTCCTAAGGCCTGGTTGGAGTATAAAATCCAGTGTGGTGCCAGTGGTGGGTCTTAATTAGCAGCAGCTATAAAACACAGGTCACAGGTTGCAGGTCATGAATAAAGCCTTGTTCACACGAGTGAAGTAAATACAAGCATACCAGGGCCCATTCAAATGAAGCCAACATCACACAACATGTTGGTGCAACAATGTGTTCATACGGATGCAACAACAGTATAATATTTATGACCTGCGATTCATGAAGTCCCTGTGTTTTGACCCACTCGGTTTAATATTAATTATTGCAGGGTTTGTTTCATCGTTTTAAAGCGATTATCAATTCTTGAAGACTTTAATTCTATTTGTAATAAAACATTACTGAATATTTTAATATAGAGAGTTAGAAACAAAGTTTATGACTTATTCTTCACAAAACACAGTTATCTTAAACATTAATCCTGGTACATATATTAGGGCATATGCTACTGTAGCTCTTTTGCTAACAAATTTCACATAATTACATATACACTCATTCCCAAAGGGGTTGTCCCTATATATAAGGCAACTGTTGAGACATACAGTATCCGTCACCCAGATATAAAATACTAACAACAAGCTACAAATCTCAATATTTAATCAATATAAGTATAAGTCGCCTTCGCAAGTCACATCACATTTTAAGCCCATCTCTCAAAATCACTACCCAAGCCCATGTAAATAATGTTCTACGATTGGTTAAAATTAATTGGATTAGTAATTACGTAACTACATCAAGGTCAAAGGTTAGCTGTATTAGTAATACATTAGTATATAATTCAATGAAAGTTTATATTGCCCCATTAGTTAGGACACACACCCCCCATGCATGTTTTTGCTAATAAGTGTATGTACAAAAAAGGAACTAATGTCTTAACTTTAACGTCCTAATATTGAATTCTCTCAGATGGTCACTCTGAATTAGCTATTTCCGTAATTTTCTCCTCTGCTTTCTTTGCCGCTTCTTGCTGTGGTCGGAATGGTCTGGCTTCCAGGTTGAGATTTTGATCTTCTGTAACCGGTGGTTGGTTACATGACAATTCCAAGGGATGTAGGTGTTGTACAGGCCGGTCTAAATGCCTATTCGCTGTCTTCAACTGAACTCCTCTAACCAAGCCATATCTCTCGATAACCAACTCTTGCGTGATTCCAAGAGGCCATCTTCCACGGTTCTTTTCGTCCAACTTTGTAATGACCACTTCCCCAACTGCTACCTGAAACTTTTTACGCTTGTTATTACGGTCTTCGTTCTCGTAAGGAAGTAATGTACTCTTTGGTGCAGCGCTTCTATCATGCATCCTTGCATGCTTTCAGATACTAAGCTCTCTTTCTAAGATTCTCGATATCTTCACGCCAGGGTTCTGGTTCCGGTATAAGGTTGGAATGAAACGGGAAACAGGAATGACGACCAAGTAAAAAGTGGCAATTCAATGTCATCTTCGGGCCTGCGATTAATCTGTACTTTGACATCCAATTAATATGACTTCGCTCAACTCCTCCCAGCCGAGATTAGCTGCTTAACTGCCTAATTGTACATTGCTTGTTTGACGACCCAGATGAGGCGCTCAAACCGACCACCCCACCAGGGAGCTTGTGACAAATTGAACTGCCATTTGATTTCATAACCGTGTAGGTGGCCCTATATTTTCTCATCGGTTCTATTAAAGAGAGCGGAGCGATTTTGCAGCTTTGATAAGGGTAGCACCATTATCCAAGTAGATCTTCTTTGGTCTTCCACGCCTGGTTACGAACCGCTTCAGCCTTGGTGTGCCAGATTGGCCTTTGCTTGGCGGATAGAGCGCGCTTGTAATAAATTGGTCCCGCAAACTCAACTATTACTTCAAATGCCGTCTCTCAGATGACTCAGTCTGGTGGTAGATTCCCAGGTGGGGGCATATGAAGAGCCGTTGCTTGGAATCTCATAGATATATTGGATATCTACGCTCGATTCTCCATCGACATTCGATTGGCTCTTTGTGATTTGGTTGTAGGTTAATAAGTTCTTTGCGATATTGCTGGGAGATAGGGTTGGGCTTGTTTCACCCGTTGTATCCAAGACGCTTTCGTCTCTTTGATTTCTTCCACTTTAAGTGAACCTTTTCTCTTCTTGCGGTGTCTGCAGTTGTGTACGAACCGATGAACGCACGAAGCGATGTACCTTAGAGCTTTTGGTAGGCTGTACTTCTCCAACAGGTTGTTGAACACGTCTACACTAGGTTGGCATTGGGCCACCTTGATCACTTCCTTGATGATCTTCGCTTCCGTTTTGGAGTCAACCGATGGACCTGTCACGAAGTTCTCAGGCTACTTTGATCGGCGAGTCAGTCTGGTCCATCCAACCATTGCGGCATCACGTCTCCTTCACTGCTTGCCAAATCTGCAGGATTCTCTGAAGTTAGGACATGTCTCCACTGGATCCCGGGGTGCTGGTTGATCTTGCTCACCCGGTTGGACAAAAACTGCTTGTATTGTCCGTTTCCTAGAATCCAGTGGAGTGCGACCGTGCTGTCTAACCAGGCATAAAGTCCTGGAGTGGGCAAGTAATCTAGAGCACTCTGCACGTTGAACAATAGGTTTGTCGCCAGATGCGTCGATATAAGTTCGAGGTGGGGTATGGCCAATCGATTTTTCGCTGCGACAAGACGCTGTGTGACACCACAAGACGCTGTGTGACACCAGAAGGTTGACAGAAAACTGAGTAAACTGCAGCGCTAACACCTTTAGTACTCGCGTCGTCAAAGGCGTGTAACTCTAACTTTGAAACTGGATGAAATTTAGGTTCATTTTATGAATAGTTTGGCATCTTTGTCCGGTTAGCAGACAAAGTAACGTGGCTAAGTTCAAAGTGAGATCTTTTAGAGTAGTCTGCTCTACTGAATCGAAGGTTGTCAAATAGCTAAGCAGTTTATTTACGTCCCAAATTCGAGAATACTTTGGCAAACAGGGTCTCAACTCAAATACACCTTTTAAGAATCTACAAACAAGAGGGTCTTTCCCGAATGAAATCCCTCTATCTGGTATAATAGTTGCTGAAAGTGCTGACCGGGCAATGTTTATAGCACTGTATCCCGCTCCCGAATTGAAACGTTCAGTAAGGAATTCAATACATTTGGCTGTCCCAGGGTTACGAAGCGGAAGTTTCTGTTGACTGCAGAATTTGTTCCATCGTAACAAATATGAGCTGTATTGCTCTGTCGTACCTGTACGCCATGAAGCCAAAATAATGTCTTGTGCAGCATGTGATAAATTTTGGTATACTAAATTTTCCCTGATAAGAGGCAGACCATCATTGATAACTTTTTGTACAGAGGATGAGTTTCTTCCGGGTGACTTGGTAGTTGTAATAAGGTCTTTGATGCTTTTAGATGTATTGGCGGCTTTTCCAACATCGCAAGTGCCTTTGGGTACCATGGTTGGGTCAGCCAGTTTGGCAGCACACACACACCCCTCGCTTTGTCTTCTCTTATTTTCTTCAGCACACTCCCTATAACGCTGAACGGGGGAAAGGCATAAAACATTTGGTCAGACCATGTAAAACTAAATGCATCCACAAATGATGCCTGGGGGTCTGGTCGGTAAGAGACGTATTTGTCAAATTGTTTGTTAATCCTTGAGGCAAAGAAGTCAATGGTAGGCGAAAACTCTAGTTCTTTTAGGGAATGTTGCAGGTAATCTCTATTTAGCATCCATTCAGCCGCTTTTTCATTCCGTCTAGATTCAAAATCTGTAATAAAGTTATCTTTCCCAGCTATATGCGCTGAGCTGACCCATTTCCCCCGGGTAATGCACCATTCCCAAAGTTGTTTGACTAGAGTGTTACATTTTTCGGAATGGCTGGTGCCCATATTGTTAATTATACTAACTGAAGAAGTATTGTCTGTCATAATTCGGATGTGTGTATTTTGTTTGAAATTAGCGAACGTTTTTAAACCCAAGAATGCAGCTAGCATTTCCAAATAGTTGATATGCTCCTTGGCCTCAAAGAAAGACCAGAGTCCGCCTGTGCTAATGTTTTGGCACTCTGCCCCCCAACCCTGACCGGAGGCATCTGTTGTAATAACAAGGGCTGGCATGTCCATTGAGATTGGTTTAAATGATTTTAAGACATTGTGAGACCATCAGGTCAATTCAGAGATAGCTTGATGGGATAATTTCATTTTGGCATCAAAATTACTATTATTAGAAGTTACAGCTGAACTCTTATCTCTTTCGAGATGGCGATAGTAAAGCGGGCCATACAGTTCCCCTGAAAAACTTGAAACTAATTTTCCCAAAATTTGCCACTTCTTTTATGTATTGTAATCTTCTTTGATGATTTTATGATAAGTGCTTCACAGTCTACTTTTAGAGCTGTGGCTTTGTCTCGTGTTAAGGTAACAGTTATTAATACAGAATCAATTTCAAATTTCAGGCACTAATTTTTCACTAATTTTTAAAAGAGTCACTAATTTTTGGCAAGGTAGGAAAATAGACTTTTCAGGATGTACTAGAAGGCCCAGTTTTGTAAACATATCCACTTTATCAACTATGTTAGTTCGGCATGCATCATGCAACGTTTTCCCTTTTAGGTAAAAGTCGTCTAGATGACCTGAAATAATATGCCCTTTTGTGTGCAATAAAGCCAATGGAGGTTTAAAGATTTTTGTAAATTTTCTAGGCCCGCTTGATAGGCCATTGGGTAAACAGGTAAATCGAAAAGTTTACCATTCCATTGGAACTTTAAGTATTTACGATCACTTTTCCTGATAGGTATAGAATAATATGCGTCTTTGAGATCGATACATGCCATGAAACAGTT